GTCAGTGCCATCAGACGGTCAAGTCTTTGTGTCACTAAGTACAGATATAAAAGTTAAACTGCTGAGTCATGCCAATAAAACGGTAAATTCTGGAGAATGTTCTGATGTAAACTATGACTTGGGGATAATTGTGGGAGATTGATTGCAAGAGATTGGAAAGGATTCACATTTGTGTTTTTTTTACTGTTTGTGCAGTAAATTGTTGGCAGACCGTGTCACTGAGAAACAGGGAGGAAAAGAAGCTCTGCAGAGCACAAAAAAACAGAAGTAGAAATGTGAACATCTTGTAATCTCCTAAAGGAAGATTGTCCTTCCTGCACCTCCTGATGTTCCTGCTGGGTCACAATTTCTCATCCACATCACAACAAAAGTCRTCTCTTCTTTGTGTGGCTGCAGTTCATGTCTCCATGCTGGGAAAAAGTCCTCAGTTGGGTTAAATAACGGGGAATAGTGTGAGAGGAACGCCATCAGCATCCTGTTGTGGGTCATAAACCATTGCCTGATGAAGTTGGAGTGATGGATACTGACATCATCCCAAACTATCATGTATTTTGTSCTCCCCAGTCTGACCCCTCTTATTCAGATCTCTGTAGAGAGGGTCTAAACTGGTGACAAGATGTTTTTAATCGTCTGTGTGAAAGTCAGCATTCATGTGGGATCAATTGACCAAATCAGCACAGCCTTAGAATAAAGTCTAATGGAGATCTATAGAAATTTRACGTATTAAGTGAACTTGTTTTGCATGTAATGACTAAATCAATTAACTAAATCCTAAATGTTGTGAGGGGTGAGATTTTTAAACAAAGACACAAATAATGTATTTTTACCAACATGACAAAATAAACCGATAGCGTAGGAAATTTGCATGGATGTACCAAAACATTCACTACTTGTTCAAAGAAATAAGAAACTGTTGCTTTGATGTGAACAAGTGACACAGTGATGTCAAGACTGAGCGAGCAGTTTTTGAGAATTTCAATTCTGAGAAATTTACCAAAGGGAAAAAAAATCTAAACTAAATACATCTTCAACACATTACAATAAAAAAAACTGTAGTTAAACTGTTGTAAATACAAACTTTAAAGCTGACTTCAACACTGAATTACTGAACAAGGATTTATTTATCTGAGTTGATTTTAATTTTGAGTGAAAATATTAGTTTCATGGTGCAGAGACTACAAACTCTTACCTGTCAGAGAAACACCTGTAGACTCCCTCAGCTTCTTCTTCATGTACCTGACTGTGAAACACTCATCTTCTCTCTCTCTCTCTCTCTCTCTCTCTCTCTCTCTCTCTCTCTCTCATCCCATCATTCCCTCAAAGCCCTGGCTCTAATCAGGCCACGCCCACCCGCCACATACACTTGCGTTAACGCCCTAACAACCCTGAGCAAACTCTCAGCACCTGTGCTTTATGTTACTTTTCTTTATAATATTTAATATTTTTATGATTTTGTTTATGTTTTATGAACCCTTTGTTTAATTACTTTGTTTCTGTGCTGTTCCTCTGAGCCAGTATTCATTCTGTACAGCACTTTGTCTGGCCACAACCACCTCACCTGTCTCATTTACCTGTTAGTCACACTTGTCACTGATGCTGAGCAGGACTGCAAGATCTGATGTTAAGGCAGGACAGACTCTGGGTAACATGGGTAAATTCTTCAAAGTGGCCATATCATGCTTTTAAATCCTTCCTTTTTCATATTTAAATCATTCAGTTGGGGTCTGTATGAAGTGGAACTGCAATGCTTTGGTCTGAATTCCTCCTTATTGTATCTCCACAAGCCCCCTTTTCTGAAATGTGTCTCAGATCAACTAATTTTGAGGCTGTCTCTTTAAATCCAAACAAGGCGCTTCACACCCCGTCCCCTTCAGCTTCCAGAGCGGTACATTCTAGTTTGATRGAGGGATTTATGGTTATATAGCAGTACAGAAACGTTTTATGTAYAAATGAATTAAAAGATGTCAACAACAGAAGACTTGACCATCTAGCCTTACATATTAGAGCCAGAGTCTGACCMAGAACCAGAGGAGAATGAAGATGACCCAGTTGYAGTTGATAAGTCTGGACATTATGTAGAAGTTTTGTCGCAAAATAGGCAATATTTCAGAAAACGTCATAGAAAATAGAGAAAACTGAACATGTTGAAAAGCATGACCTTTATAGAATAAAAAGATGTCTATGCAGCACTGGGAGAGACTAAATTCAACTTTTTTGCAGTCCTGGAGACTCCAAATGCACAACAAAATGTATTTTAAGGCTAAAAAAGTGGCTTTTGCATCATATGTCCCCTTTACTACTTGGTGTATTGTTTTCAAGTTACAGATACAATATTCRGCTCCTCCTCCTCTCTGCCAGTTCTTGCTGCAGCTGGTCCTGAATAAACCAAACCTTGAGTAACATGATGGTCCAGAATCGAAGCACAAGAGGAGGAGGAGCAGAGAGTAGCTGTTTTGTGGCGAACTGTGAACAGACTAACAACAATAAGCAGCATGGTACAAACAGCTATGGAAAACAAATTAAACCACAGCAGCCCAACTGAAACTGAAAAATMTATTCTGTTACACTGATTCAGCTCATTATCAGTGTAACAATATTAATGGATCCCACCTCAGGAAACCTTGCCAGGAAAAGGGCGTTTCCCTTGAGACAGGCATAAGGGAGCTCGCTGAAGTGGTTGTTCCATTTTTAAGAATGGGGAGTGGAGGGTGTTCTAACTATTATGAGATCATGCTTCTCACTCTCCTTGGGAAAGTTTACAGTACTCCAGGGAGTTTGAAGGGAGGCTCCAATCGATTGTCAAACTTCGGACTCAAGAGGAGCAGCGTGGGTTCATTATGAGTGATGGAGCTGGAGATGGATCGATGGATCAGGGTCTCATCCTCAGTAATCAGGGTGCTGCTGCAGTCAGTTGTGAAGAAAGAGTTGAGTCAAAAGACAATGTTCTTGATTTACTGGTCTGTCTACATTCCAACCCTCACCTATGGTCACRAGGCGTGGATCATGAGAATTAGATCCCAGATACAAGCAGCCAAGATGAGCTTCCTTTGGGTGGCCGGGTTCAGCCTTGAGCACAAAGACTTCTGCAGCGATYATTTTAAGTTAGAATCCTACAAATCCTAAAATCTGTGGGATGTTCAGGGTTCGAGATAGAAACTTTCCTTGGACTTTATGATGTCTCTTCTGTAAACCCAGCAGGCACATGTTACTTCCATCCATTTTCTTTCACTTATCCGGGGTCGGGTCACGGGGGCAGCAGCCTAAGCAGAGAGACCCAGACTTTCCTCTCTCCAGCCACTTGGGCCAGCTCATCCGGGGGAATCCCAAGGTGTCGCCAGGCCAGCCGAGAAACATAGTCCCTCCAGCATGTCCTGGGTCTTCCTCTGGGTGTCCTCCCAGTGGGACATGCCCGGAACACCTCACCAGGGAGGTGTCCAGGAGGCATCCTAACCAGATGTCTGAGCCACCTCAACTGGCTTCTCTCGACGTGGAGGAGCAGCGGCTCTACTCCGAGTCCCTCCTGGATGACTGAGCTTTTCACCCTGTCTCTAAGGAAGAACCCAGACACCCTGCGGAGGAAACTCACTTCAACTGCTYGTATCTGCAATCTTGTTGTTTCAGTTATTACTCATAACCCACTACCTGTGACCATAGATGAGGGTTGGAACGTAGACTAACTGGTAAATCAAGCTTCACCACGACAGATCTGTACAGCGCTCACATCACTGCAGACGCAGCACCAATCTGCCCATCGATCTACTGCTCCATGTGGAGGCACTGATCCTCAAACCTGCCGCTTCACACTCGGCTGCGAACCGCTCCAGTGAGAGTTGGAGATCATGATCTGATGAAGCCAATAGGACCACATCATCTGCAAAAAGCAGAGATGTGATCCTAAGGTCACCAAAAAGGATTCTTTCAACACTGTCATGGACTAATTATTTATCTGTTTTTCCCTTGACACTGTTCATCTCTCATATCTTTCTGGAGGCTCCAGTCGCCTCCATAATGCACTAACCTTTAATATACTTTTTGGGTGTGAGCCTTGTGATTGGCTGAACAGTACATTTGGTGATCTGTGATTGGTTGTAAACTGACACATGGTTTGGCATGATGTATATTATTGGCTGTGTTCTGCTGACGCTTTCAGTAGCAAGCGGGCAGAACCTTCTTGATTAAGTTCTGTTTCCGATTGTTGCTCACAATTAAATCATATTTGATTATCACATACGCAGACTTTTATCGTATTATTACGTGTTTCTGCTTTGCTACCACAAACACCTTGGCTGCGCCTAGAAATTCTGTCCATAAGTTTTGAACAGAAGTGGTGAGAAAAGGGAAACCTTGGTGGAGTCTAACTCTCACTGGGAACGAGCCAGACTTGCTACCGACAATGTGGCCCAAGCTCTGACACCGGTCGTACAGGGACCTGACAGTCCGTATCAAAGGGCTTGGTACCCCATACTCCCAGAGTACCCCCCACAGGAGTCCCTGAGGGACGCCTTCTTCAAGTCCACAAAACACATGTTGACACATGAGTGAACTCCCATGCACCCTCCAGGACCCTGCTGAGGGCGTAGAGCTGGTCTGCTGTTCCATGACCAGGACGAAAACCACACTGCTCTTCCTGAATCTGAGATAATTCAACAAACCCTCCCCTCCAGGACCCCTGAATAGACTTTACCAGGGTTCCTCAAAAGTGTGCTCCTCCTGTCGTTGGAACACACTCTGTGGTTCCCCTGGCTCCAGAGTGGGGCCCCAGTGACCCATGTCTGCATGAGGGAACACTAGATCCATTTCTATTACTCATCATGAGGGGTCTTTGGGCTGCAGTTTGTCTGATCTCTCACCTATGATCTGTTTGCCTTGGGGGCATGAAGCTCTGACAACGTAGCTCCTAGGACCATTGGAGCACTCAAACCTCTCCTCCATGATAAAGTGGCAGCCCAGGGAGAGGCACATGTTTCTTCTGTTAGTTAAAGAAATTGAGGACACTACTGTTTTTGTTTTCTTCATCACGTTTGTCATTTAATTGTTTTTTTATTTCTTTTGTTGTCAAATACAGAATTTAATGTACAGAAGAGCAACTGTGAACTAGAGAATGGAGCAGATGTACAATATTTACACTCGAATCAACAAAATTTCTCCTCAGAGCTCAAACCATCAGAAATATCAAGAACAAACAGATAAAAATGACAAACATTAAACATGAACATTTAAACTTTTGGATCTTTTCATCTCATACGTCCTTTAAGAAAGTCTTCTTTTATTATTCATTGTTGTTCAGGGCATTAAAGCCTCTTACTTCTCATCTTTTGAACATACAAAAAGAAGTTTTAGTTTTAAATACATTTCCCTCCACTTTGCTTTGTTCTGGCTGAGACAAGTAGAAACTATCACATCCCTTATTTTTATACATCTCCCATCCAGCTTTCCTTCTGTTGGTTGAACAGAAGCAACAAATGCAGGTGGACTATTTTATGTACACTCCTTTAAAATACACTTCAAAAAATAACAAACAGTCCCATCATAGGGTGGTCATTTTTAAAAWTTTCCTTGTAGAAATGATACAAACAATAGTCATTAATACATCCTTATAGACAGCTTGAGTCTGAAGGTTTGACAAATCTCTCTGAGTTCTGAGGGGAACAAACCTATCACATTCACAGTTCTTCACCTTTACTACACTTCTTTAAGATGGACTCAAGAAAAGAAATACTTTAAATCTGCCACTAACACCTGGAAGGTGTTGTTCTCAGTGGAGTCATTGCACATATTGCAGACACACAGGTTGGTTTAGGCTAACACCTGCTGTTTAATACTGAGGGTGGAGGAGTTCACAGGCCTCCGTCAGGCCTTGGCACTGAAGCTGAGCAGTTCCATGAAGGAGTTAAAAAGACTTTCCAGCCAGCCCTGGTTGGCCATGCACTGCTGGACCACCTCCTCCTGACCGGGGTCTTCAGCTGCCTGCTTGATGTTGTCTGTCTGCTCATGAGAACAAAGAGGTCAGAATAACATCACTTCATCGGAACCCTCCTGCTGTGGGCCCTGGGTCCAAATGACCCTCAGAGGACCCTCAGAGGGTCCAGATAAACCTCAGACTGTGTTTGTATTAGCCATTTTCTTACCTCCTTCTTGCAGTGCAGGAAAGTGTGATACTTGTAGTGATGCAGAGAATGATACAGACTGTAGATTCGACACGTTTCTATAGAAATCTTCATATCCTGAAAAAAAGTTAAAAACCTTTAAGGAGTTTTTATTGTTTTTTTTTATTATTTCTCAATTTTTCTCATTACGTGTAAACTTAAGAAAATCCCAAGTGCTGAACTTCTGTCCAACAGTCATTAAAGACTGTAGAACTGGTTCAGTCCATCTGCAGATGAAACTGAACCTGAAGCAGTTATTTCTGGACCAAAGGTGTATAAAATACTTAAACAAAATAGCTAAGTAAAAGTAAAAACACATTAATAGAAAATGACTTTGGAAAAATAAATTTCATTGATAAGAAAAGTACTTAAGTAAAAGTCATAAAATTACTCAATAAGCTGAATAGTAAAAGTACTTTTACATACACTGTAAAAAGTGAAGTGTTGAATTTACATAACCAAGTTTTGTCAACTGGTTTCACTAAACCGAGTTGAGTAAATTGAGCAGTTTACACATTGTTTGAGATCACTGAAACATCCATCTGCTGCATCAGTTTATTTTAGATCAGCTCTCAAACGCCTTCCTCTGCCTCCATTCATTTGAATGGTGGCACCTATTATTATCCACCTCAAAAACAGTATCTCTCTACTTTATTCATTTATATATTTTTAAAGTCATTCATTAATGGCTAATGGCAACATACACCTTTGGGTGCAACTAACAATTATTTTAATAATTGATTAATTGGTCGTTTATTATTTTTTTGATTAATCAATGAATCAAGAAAAAAAATCTCAACCTCTTTATTCCAAAATAAAAAAAAATTGTACTGACATAGCAAATCACATGAAAAACAGGCTGCTGTTTGAGTATTATGTTACTATAATTTTAAATAATAATAATAAATAAATAAATGTTTGTCAAATAGCTTCAGTATAAAAACAAATGTACACAAAAATATCAATATCTGAGATAATGTCAAGGACCAGGCAACCAAGAGGAACAGAATGCTCAGGAGACAGAATGAAAGGGTAAGAAAGTTTTATTTTAGAGCTGCTTGCGCAGGAGGATTCTGGATCTAGAGAGGGAGAAAACAGGCAGTCAGGATGAGCAGGTGAGGATAATCTGCTGGTAATGTTGTTTGCTTAATGTTTTGTAGGAAACAGTGGTAAACAAAGAAAGTCCAGGGAGATGATTGTAGATGGAGGCAGACAAGGAGCAGAGGCAAGTGAATATGGTTACCAGTGTGAGGCTGAAGCARGTGAGTGAGGTTCCAGAGAGGAGAAACAGGCAGGTGATTATAATTTCAGGTGCAAGATTGGGGACTGGGGTTGGTGAGCGTAGCTCCAGGATGTAGGCGAGGCAGCGGCRCGTGGATCAGTTTGGTAGGAAAGGTGGCTCAAAGGAGAAGAAGACTTGATAATGAACATCAGGGGTTAACTGTCAGACACAAAGGAACACAGGTAAAATTTAATTTCTACTAACAAACTTAGTATGCTGCTCAGAACTATGTCCAAGGTATGTGTGTTCAAGAAAAGACATGGCCACAGGGGTCATCAGGTGAGATGAGGAACAACTGATCCAGCTGAACTGCCAACCAATCAGGGCATCACAGGTGATAAGACAGCAGATGTCACACTAAAAATATATACAAATGTTTGCTATATTCTTGAAAATCTCTTCATATTTTCTCTCCATGAGTTCTGCTAAATTTGTCCCCAAGGAAAGAGTGAAACCTGGAATAAAAGTGTGGACTATTGTTGTGACGCCTTTATCTTTGACCATTGACACAGGCCTCATATCAGTGACGATCATGTTAAGGATACTTTCTGTCAAGACAGCTGATTGCTGTGGTGTCCATGATGTATTTCCCACCATGAAGCCTGTCATTGTTTGCTGATTGTTTCTGAAATAAGAAAGATATGATTTCCTGATGATTCCCCTCAGCAGAATTGCCACCTCAATGGGGTGGAGTGGTTTGAGTACTGGGGGGCTATGTTGTCTGGGGCATTAGCCCCTGGTAGGGTCTCCAATGGCAAACAGGCCTCAGGGAATGGCTCGCTGGCAAGCACCTGGTGGCCGAGCCTTGGCTCCTGTTGCTCGGCTGGGCTGAGCCTGAAARGACTACAGGAGGTCACCTCCACATGGACCCAGCACTCGGAGGGAGGACCATCAAGGTCAAGTGCGATGTATGCCAGGCAGCAGGCTAAGGAGGGCCCTGGCCATGCTGATTCCTGACAGAAAAGACTAGCTTTAAGGGTGTAGATCGTAACCTCAATCACGGGTAAGGACCTGGAGCTTGTGGGTGAGGTTGAGTGTTTCCAGCTAGATGTAGTTTGGCTCACTTCTAATCGCAGCATGAGCTATGGAACCCAACTCTTGGAGAAGGTCTGGACTCTCTCTTACTCTGAAGTTGCCCAGGGAGAGAGCCAACGGGGTGATTGTGGGGAAACTCACATCCCCCGGCTGTGTGCCTCAGTGTTGGAGTTCACCCCAGGGAATGAGAGGTTGCTTATCTGCATCTTTGTGCTGCAGGAGGGATGTTTCTAACTGTTGTTTGTGCTTATGCACCAAGCATTAGTTCAGATTACTCGGCCGTTTTGTAGTCTTTGGATGGGGTCCTGGAAGGGGTGCCATCTGGGGACTCCCTTGTTCTACTGGGCGACTTCTATGCCCGTGTGGGCAAAGAGTTATCTGTAAGGGGGTGATTGGGAGGAATGACCTCCCCGATCTGAACCCCAACGGTGTTCTATTATTGGACCTCTGTGCTAAGCACGGGTTGTTCATAACAAACACCATGTTTGAGCATACGGTGGTAAATAAGTTACCAGGCCACTTTAGGTCAAAGGTTGATGATAAATTTTGTAATCCTGTTGTCTGACCTATGGCTATATGTCTTGGACACTTGGGTGAAGAGAAGGGCAGAGCAGTCAACTGATCACCTCTTGGTGAGGAGTTGGACCTGGGCATGGRRGAGGCTGTCAGACAGACCTGGTAAACCCAAACGTATAATAAGGGTGAACTGGGAACGTTTGGCAGAGCCCCCTGTCTGTGCAATCTTCAACTCTCACGTCTAGGAGAGTTTTTCACATGTCCTATGGGAAGTCAGGGACATGAAATGTGAATTCATCTTCACAGCCTCCAGGAGCTGTGGCCTGACGGTTATCTGGGCAGCAACCAAGGGACCCACTGATGGACACCAGTGGTGATGGAGGCCGTCAGGCTGAAGAAGCAGGCCTTCTGAACTTGGCTTTCCCGGAGTGCACCTGAAGCAGCTGACAGGTAGATCATGGCAAAGAGTATTGAGGCTTTTGTGGTTGCAGATTCAAAAACTCGGGCATGGGAAGAATTTTGGGAGGCAATTAAGGTGGCCCAGCCCAGCCTTAGAGATAGGGTGAGGAGCTCTGTCATCTGGCTCAAGATTAGAGTCGCTGCTCTTCTGTATAGAAAGGAGTCAGTTGAGGTGGTTTGGGTATCTGATGCCTCCTGAACGCCTCCTCTTAGAGGTGTTCTGGGCATGTCCCACTGGTAGGTGGCCCAGGAGAAGACCAAGGACTTGGTGGAGAAATTATGTAACCTCTCCCACCTGGGAAAGTCTCAGCGTTCCTCAGGACAAGATGAAAAGTGTTGCTGGGGGGAGGGATGTCTGGATTTCTCTCCTGGACCTGTTGCCTTCGCAACTTGACTACGGATAAGTGGAAAAATATAGAGTTTAGTGTGAGTATGTATAATAGCAGAATTTATAATGACTCAATAAATGCCTTGTTTTATTTGCAGTATTGGGGTAAGGCACACAATGAGTGTGTTTGTTAGTGTATATTTACTTGCTCTTTGCATTGACATTGTGAGTAAATTAAATTTTCATCATTAAATTATTACCATCATTGTGTGCATGTTAGATTTATTTATAAAGCACATTTAAACATTAACTTTAAATGTATTTAGCTTCAGCTTTTTAAACTGAAATAAAAGGTAATTCTATCACATGTACTCTATCACTGTCATTAACCAGCTAACACGCTAACACCAGCATCAGGCCAGCTACCAGAGAGACTAACGTTATGTTTCCTCACTTTGAAACAGAACAAACGTAGTGACTTACCCTGCAGATGAGCACCCTTCATCCTCCAACATGTTCTTGTTTCAGGTGCTGTATCATCGTCGTGCTGCTCCCATGCCCCGTCAGTTTACTTTTACAAAGCATGTTATGCATTTGTTAGTTTTGTGAAGGATGAAGAACTTCCACACTTTTGAAGACTTCTGTCGAACTGCTTTCTCTGCGTCGGTCATTTGTATATTTACCAGTAATTTCTTTTGAAAATACTTCCTCCACCTCACTCCGTTCAATTCGTTCTGCAAGCGACTTTTGACTTTTGTTTTTCAACTTTATTGACAAAGCTCTACAAGCCAAGTAAACGACTCCACGACATGGCAAATGACACCTCAATCATCCGACACAAATCAATAATGAAATTTGCTGCCAACACTTATAATAATTGATTTTTATCAGTTTTATCAATTAGTTGTTGAAGCCCTACATGCAGCCGGAGCAGGACTAGAGAGAGATAAATATAATTTAGATTTTTATTTCTGTGACTGTATACGACCCACAGGAGACACAGCATTCACAGCAGTTGTCATTTCATTCCTTGGCTTTAGCAGCTTTTTTAATTCCACAGCTGACGCTGCTAAAATTGACAGATTTTCTTTTCTGGATCTCTGAGAGCAGGACTTCAATCTCCGAACTCGTGAAGTTCTTCTTTTTACTTTGCGATGTCATTTACGAATGGACACTTCCTGGTATCTGGGGCAGGAAACGTAGCCTTATATGGTGTTTTAAGGGTGGTAATTATGCTAATCACCTCTCCTCGTGCACGAGTACCTGAATACGCATTCATCAGTTTATGCTCCTCATTTACCCACTTTTCCTGAAGATAGAAGCGTTTGTTGAATCGGACTTGGCATGTTCGTACAAGCCCTTCGTACGAACAAAAGTAAAAGAAATTTAGGATAAGAATACAAAAATGTTCTTGCATGAGGGCCATTGATTATAATGAGAGTATTTGCTGAGGAGGTCGGAGCAGAGTGGAGCCACATCTAGTGTGAATTGAGTGTAAATTGGGGTAAGATGGAGTTTGTGTAGTTCAATATGGCAACCAGATTGCTCAGACGTTTTGAGACATCCAAAGTTGAAATATGGTGGGTAGATACCAGAGAGCTAACCAACACATTTTAAATGCTAACTACAAGTTTAAGCTAACTGCTAATGCTAATTTAAGACAAGGTTAAATTTCAGCCTGTTTTAAGACTTACAAAGCTAAAATCTGGTATAGTAGTAGCCAAGAACAAGGTTTGAAAAAATCTGAAAGCTAAATAAAAATTCCAGAGGGTCACCAGAGCTTATTTGAAACTACAAGAATGTGGCCAATTTAAGTCCCTGGCCGCCATAGTTAGAAAAGAAATTGGCCATAACTCAGCCATTTTTAGACATAATAAGCTGAAATTTGTGGGGTTAGTAGCTGAGAGCTAACCAAACCCATTTTGAATGCTAATCACAAGTTTAAGTTAACCGCTGATGGTAGTTGTAACTAAGGCTAGAATTAAGCCATTTTTAGATATACAAAGCTGAATACTGGTATAGTAGTAGCCAAGAACAAACTTCGACAAATTCTGAATTCTAAATAAATATTTCAAAATGGCCACCAGACCTCATTTGAAACTGCAATAACTCAGCCATTTTAAGACTTACCGAGCTGAAATTTGGTGTGGTAGTATTGATAACTATTCCCATCACATTCTGAATACAAACCAAAAATCAAAAATGGCTGACATAGCTAAAATGTAAAATTGACCCTAACCCCAACCCAATTTTTAGACATATTAGGATGAAATTTGGTGTGGAGGTAGCTGAGAACAACCCTTATTACATACTGAATCCAAATCAAAAATTGAAGCTGGATGCCAAAGCTAAACAGAAGAACTGACCATAATACAACCACTTTTAGCCTTAATGAGATGAAATCTGGCATGGTTGTCAATGACAGTGAACTCCAACAAATAGTAAACTCAAATTTTAACTTAAATTTGAACTATTTTGGTTAAATGTATTTTCTTCCTGATGGTAATAATTTAAACAGACCATATTCATGACTAAATCTGTGTTTTTGTTTTAGTATTTCTGATTAGGGTCAGTTCTGTTCTGTTCTGTTCTGTTCTGCCACACTCACCTGCACTGGATCCTGGTTATCTCTGCATAAGTAGGATACTGTATTTGGGTACTTTAGTTTGTCTTTATATTCTCTGTTGGTTTGTCTGTTCCTTGGTTCTGTATTGTACGTAATGAGTCTCAGTCCTGGTTCTGTATGCTCATGTCCAGTCCCCATTTTGGAAGTTTATTGTCTCAACAGCCTTTTGTTTATTATTAAAAGTAAGTTTGTTGAAAAAAATGCATTCCAGTGGTGGTTGCCTGCACTTTGGACCAAAGTCATTATCTCCAACCATGACGGTACCGAATAAAAGTTTTGAGTTTTTGTAAAGGTTTATATGTACTCAATGATGAAAGTTTCACTAGAATTTGTCCAGCTGTTCATGAGATAAAACTGACAAAAAAAAACCCTCTGAAGTAGTTTAAGCTATTTAATCAGACTGTTTTTATCTGCAGAGATGGATATGAACCACTTGTTATGAAGTGTGACGCATCTTCTCACCTGCTGCTTAGGAACACTCCTCTTGACTCGGTTGAGGGTCTTACGGTTGTAACCCTCCCCACCAAGATGAACCCTGACCACTCCGGACTCCAGAGGGTCTGCTGTCATTTTGGGGAACAGGTGTAAAGCCTCCTGGACAGACAGGTAAAAACAGGATTAAAACATAAACATCTTTGTCAGTTTACCTGTTGTACATACAGTAGATTTATGTGAAAATGGACCTGATGCTGAGTACTCATGCTGATCCTCCTCAACAGCCTCTTCTTCTGCTCACTCAGGAAACTGTCAATTTTTCTCATAGGTGGAAGGTAGAGCTCATCTGAGGAGAAGAATGGCAGGTTTTATGTGGAAATCTTATATTTCATCTCTAATTTGTGAAAAAAGTATCAGATTTTAGATGATTTATACATCCAAGGTTCCAAACACATAGTGACAAGTCACTAATCCAGAAACATGTCTGTTTTTGAGACAAGTCACAAATGCAGAGACACGTCACAAATTCAAACAYGTCAATAATTCAGAGACAAGTCACAAATCCAGAGACTTGTCACTTWTTCGGGGACAAGTCACAAATACACAGCTTCAGACACATCACAAGTCAGAGACCATCACAGACACAAGCACAGCGTTACTTAAGAAATAATCATCTAAGTTATAGTGTTTCAGTATCTTTTCTGATAATATTATCACTTGTGATGGTGAGGAGTTCCTGAACTTGAAGGTGGTCTCTACTCTGCCCCCCCCCCCCCCCCAGCCCCTTCTTTATGAGTCTCAAGTTGTTACTGGGTATGCACTATGATTTGGCATAATCGTATCGTGTGCAATTAATCATCAGTAAAACATCAATTGATTATTATTTGGCACTTGACAATTAGTACGATTAATGCCACCAGGCAGAGGCCACTCGCTGCTCCTCTCTTCTTCAAATATGATGAACATTTAAAAAAAAGGTTCTGTAATTTATTTATCTATCAACAGTTTAAAATTAGATGTACAGCCTGAAGTCTGTAATTTTGACACAATTTGGAACAGATTTTTATGAAGATCAAATCTTTCCCACTAAATTGGTCATGTGACCAGGACGTGAGGGTGTCCAGGGACTCCAGGGGATTAATCGTCAAATTAATCGTTATCAGCTAAATACCACAATTAATCGTAATTATTTTTTTGCCAATATTGACCAACCCTAGCACTTCTGTTCTTTTTTTTTTGTTAGTTATTTAGGATCAGTGGAACCTGATTAAGATAAAAACAAACATAGATTTAAGCAATTAGGAATAAACAAAGTAAATATATATTTTATATAAATTTAATTTAAAACAAAATGTATTTCCCCTAAATAAGGACATTCAGAGGTTATAAAAATATATTTTAAAAATATAAATTAGAAGCGGACAAACGCTTACAAACAATAAGGTGTGCCACACAAAACCAAAATAATAATTTAATTTTTTGTGTATTTTTGACCTACAACCCCTGACAAAAAGTATGGAATCACCAGTCTTGGATGAGCACTCATTCAGACATTTCATTCTGTAAAACAAACTCAGATCAAAAACATGATACAATAATAAGGTCATTCCAAAGTGCAACTTGTTGGCTTTCAGGAACACTCAAAGAAATGAAGAGAAAACATTGTGGAAGTCAGTGAATGTTACTTTTATTGACCAAGAACAGGGGAAAAAATGTGGAATCACTCAATTCTGAGGAAAAAAGTATGAAATCACTCAAATTGGAGGTACAAAATAAGGACACACCCAGTCAATTTCCTTCCCCTAAATAGACACCTGCCTCAGATTAGATTTGCTCGTTAGTCTGCAGTTAAAAACACCTGCAGTCATGACACCTTGGAGGGCTGCTGGACGAAGTGGAGTGGCAAGAACCATGGCTCCAACAAGAGAAATGTCTCTTGAAACAAAAGAGAGGATTGTGAAACTTCTTGAAGAAGGTAACTCTTCACTCATGGTTGCTAAAGATGTGGGCTGTTCACAGTCAGCTGTATCCAAGATATGGACCAAATACAAACAGCATGGAATGGTTGTTAAAGCCAAGCGTACTGGTAGACCAAGAAAGACATCAAAGCGTCAAGACAAACAACTTAAGGCCATTTGTCTTGAAAACCGAAAAAGTACAACTAAACAGATGAAGCATAAATGGGAGGAAGCTGGAGCCAATGTATGTGACTGAACCGTAAGAAATGGCCTAAAGGAAATGGGATTTCAATACAGGAAAACTAAAAGAAAACCATCATTGACACCTAAACAAAAAAGAACAAGACTGCAATGGGCTAAGGAGAGGCAATCATGGACTTTGGATGACTGGATGAAAGTTATCTTCAGTGATGAGTCAAGAATCTGCATTGGACAAGCCGTTATAAAAGCCAAAGATGGTGCAACTAAATTCTAGTGATGTATTTTGAATGGTCTTTTGTTTATCTGTTTTTCATGATTCCATACCTTTTTCCTCAGAATTGAGTGATTCCATACTTTTTTYCCCCYGTGCTTGGTCAATAAAAGTAACATTCACTGACTTCCACAATGTTTTCTCTTCATTTCTTTGAGTGTTCCTGAAAGCCAACAAGTTGCACTTTGGAATGACCTTATTATTGTTTCATGTTTATGATCTGAGTTTGTTTTACAGAATGAAATGTCTGAATGAGTGCTCATCCAAGACTGGTGATTCCATACTTTTTGCCAGGGGTTGAATAAGAGTGGAGGCAGGAGTAAACAGGTAGACTACATTCTGTGTAGAAGAGGAAACCGGAGGGAAAAGATTGTGGCAGGAGAGAGAGTGGTCAAACAGGATCGGATGGTGGAGTGGAGGACGACTGTTGTGATGAAGAAGAGGAAAAGAGTAAAGTCAAATAAGAAAACTGAGTGGTGGAAGCTTAGGAAGGAAAAATGTTGTGAGGAGTTCAGAGGAGATGTTAAAGGCTCTGGGTGGTCAGAAAGAGCTTCCAGATGACTGGACGACTGCAGCAACACAGAGAGACAGGTAAGGTACTTGGTGTCATCTGGGTAGAGAAACGATGTTCAGGAAACCTGGTGGTGGAGTAATGAAATACAGGACATTATCCAGACGAAGAGGTTAGCCAAGAAGAAACAGGACAGACAGGTAAAGACCGAAGAGAGACAGGACTACTGTATAAGGAGATAAACTAATAAATGATAAACTAAACTTTGAAATTAATTTTGACACAGTGTGCAAAAAGGCACATCAGCATCTTTTCTGTCTAAGGAAACTCTGCCATTTTAATATAGACCAAACCATAATGACCATGTTTTACCATGCTTTTATTGAATCAGTTTTATCCTTTTCCCTGGTGTCATGGTTTGGTCAAGTTCCACTGAGAGAGAAAAATGGCCTACAGCAAATTAAGTTATTGTCTAAACTGATGGGAAAGACCCAACAAGCAGATGCATCTCTGTACATCAGCCAGGTACAGCGGATAAACTTTTCTGTTCTTAAAGAGGATTTCCATCCCCTTTACCAGGAGTTTCAGCTTCTTCCCTCAGGCCGGAGGTTTTTGGTCCCTAAATGTTGGACAACATGTTTTAAAAACAGCTTTGTTCCCACTGCTGTTACTGTAATGAACGAACTGAAGAGACACAGACGTTTTCAGTGGTTCGATATTGGATTTGATGAAATGTGTTTTTATTTTCAACTTGTTATTTATATAAAGTCTATTTTTAGTTTTATTTCCCTTTTTCGCGTCCTGTTTTGATTTGAATTTGATATGTGGAGCCTTCAAGCACTGTGTGAATGGTTCTTTTTGCTAATGTGTTTTTATTACTTATAATTGTGTGTGTGTGTGTGTGT